ACCCAAGATCCAGATGAGCCAGCTCTCTTGGTTCCTGGATCCTGGATGCTGGAGGGAGACCAAGCAGAGTTCTCTGGAGAACACCACTGGACTGTGCTTCACCTTTCCCAGACCCTGTTACCTATCCCTTCACTTGTAAGTTACCCCACAAAATAAACCTCCCTTTTAGCTATGTGCAGTTGCCTTAATATTTAAACCAATAATCAATAGGTCTAGTGTATGTTAAGAACTTATTGTTATAAATTTCAGCTTTTTCCTGTTTGCATATTGGACAGAGGGCAGGGGTTTCTTCAAGCTTCTCTTGGAAAGCCATTATTGGTGGTGAGGTTGTCATGATATAACTCCTTTCCAAAGACTCATTTCAATCACATTGGACAATGGATTTCAAAACACAAGTTTTGAGAGGATAAAATAATCAAACTATGATAGAAGATAAATAGATGATAGATATAAATGATAGGTGGATATAAAGGATGGACAGAAGATAGATATATAGATTATAGATAGATAAATAGATAGATGATATGACAGATAAATAGGTAGATAGATGATAGATGATAGAGATAGATAGATGATAGAGATAGTTAGATAGATGATAGATAAAGAGATTATAGAGATAGATGATAGATAGATAGATAGATAGATAGATAGATAGATAGATAGATAGATAGATGATATGATGTGTAGTGGGTAGCTGTTCTATCTATGACCTTGAAACATCTCCCCTAGTGAGGTAGCAGGTAACTGCTACACCTGCCTATGACCTTGAAGTACATGCCCCTGGGGCATGGCTGCTCAGGACCCTTAAGATCTGGGATGTACTGGGATGCACATAGGCAGCTCTCTTCACTTCCTCATGGTATTGGATGTTGAGATCTTAGACCAGGCAAATCAGCATGGGACATAGCTCATCTTTCCTGGACCCTATGATAAATCTTCCATAGTAGTGACTTAACCCCCAAATAAGTTCTTTTGCTCAAGGACTTAAATAGTTTGTGGTGATATTTTTTCCCTGATATATCATGCACCCTAATAAATTTATCTGGGGTCAGAGAACAGAACAACCACTAGATACAGAGGCTAGAAAATGGTGGCACTTATGCCTTTAATCCTAGCACTCCAGAAGCAGAAATCTCTGGATCTCTGTGAGTTCAAGGCCACATTGAAAATGACTCAGTCATGGTGACACATGCCTTTAATCCCAGAAAGTGAGTCTTTAATCCCAGGAAGTGAGGGCAGAAAGCAGAAAGGTATATAAGGCATGAAAACCAAGAACTAGGCTGGCTAAGCATTCAGGCTTTCGAGAAGTAGTTCAGCTGAGATTCATTTGGATAAGGACTCCAGAGGCTTCCAGTCTGAGGAAACAGGATCAGCTGAGGAACTGGTGAGGTGAGGTAGCTGTGGCTTCTTCTGCTTCTCTGATCTTCCAGCGTTTGCTCCAATACCTGGCTCCAGGTTTGTTTTTACTAATAAGAACTTTTAATGACCCATCCAGCAGGCCAGGTTATTCGCGGGTCTCGAGGAGGGACCACCTGGGAATCAATGGGGGCGAGAGGGAAAGGAGACCAAGCGTGTGAAGAAAGACAGAGTCGGAGTTGCCAAAAGGTCTCGTTTATTGGCTGGGGCTTGAGGCTTAAAAGCAGGGCTTCAGGCAGGGAGGGGGAGCAGGGGCTTCAGGCAGGGAGGGGGAGCAGGGGAAGACAGGGGAGGAGAATGGAAAATTCTTGAGGTTGCTTTGGTCCCTGGCCTTGCAGGTGGCTGATAAGCACCCGTCCAGGAAGTTTATCTAAAGCATGTCTCGTGGTTTTGGCTAGAGCATCTTGTCTTTTTCAAGGCCGGCTGGAGCAAGAGAAAACTTATACAAAGTTCAAGACACAGTTTGCCCAGTTGCCCAAGGTTGGTCTCCAACATTTTAAGATTCATGCTACACTTAAATAGTCCAAGAGAATTATTAGATGAAGCTGAAAAGGAATTAACTCTAATAGAAAAGAAAATATGAGAAGCACATATAGATCGTGTAAATCCAGAACTTAACTGCATTTTAATGATATTCCCTTCTAGACAAACAACCACGGGAATTTTGATGCTAAGGGAAGATATTATATTGGAATAGATATTTCTATCATGTAAACCAAATAAAAATTAAAAACTTATATGGAAAAGATCTCTGACTTAATTCTAGAAAGAAAATTAAGACTTTGTCAATTGCAAGAAATAGACCCAGCAAAAAATTATAATACCCTTAAATAATGAGGAGATTTACTCATTGTGGAAAGATAATAAATATTGTTAAAGAGCCTACAATAATTTTTTGGGAGAGATTAACAATTCTTATCCCAAAAGTAAGAGAATAGAATTCATAAAAAGAACTGCAAGGGTCCTTCCTCACATTGTATGGCAAAAGACAATCTCTGGCATCCCCACATTCTATATTGATGCAAATAAATCAGGAAAGGCAGGATATAAATCAAGAGACTTAAATAAAATGATTCAAAGCCCCTATATAGTGATATTTTATTTGTACTGAAATGTGATTTGTATGTTAATAAATAAAGTTGCCCGGGGGTCAGAGCTATTAGAGCATAGCAAAAGCTGGGCAGTGGTGGTGCACACCTTTAATCCTAGAACTTGGTAGGCAGAGCTAGGTAGATATCTGTGTGTTCAAGGATACAGCCAGCATTGGAGACACATGCCTTTAATCTCAATACCAACCATAGAAGACCTGGAGTTCTGTACAGACAGGCAGTGACTAGGCAGTCATGTGGCTGGGTTTACAACCAATGAAAAGGCAGAACAGAAAGTCTATATAAAGACAAAAACACAGGAAGCAGGTCTCTTGGCTGAAGAGGCTAGATGCAGCAGATGGGTAAGGCTCTTAGCTCTGATCTCTTGGCTTTTTTTCTTTGCATTAGTTCTGTGTTTCTTATGTAATAAGATGGTTGGTTACATCTACACCCTTACAATTCTATACAAAAGACAGAACTGTATGCCATTCTTATGGTACTAATGGACTTCATGGAACCCCTTAATATAGTCAGAGACAGTTGTTTTATATATGAAAACTGCTGAATTTATTCCTGATAATATGAAGTTAACTTTACTATTTATATAATTACAGGAAATTATCAGAAACAGGGAACATCCTATATACGTAATACACATCAGATCCCATATGGGTCTGCTTGGTCCTCTAACAAAAGATAATGATGAGATTGATCATTATTAATAGATAATAATTATTGGAAGCCTCAAATTTTTCATTAGAAAAACTGTAAGATATGTCCTACATTGGGGAAGGGATTTTGCTTTTGTTTCTACAGGAGAAAAAAAGCTATGGATACTGAAAAATTAATAAAAATTAATTTCAAACAGGAAAAACTTCTTGATGAGGAGAATTAATAGCTTATCCATGGATATGACTATTATACAAGTTGTAAAAAAATTCAACCAACAAGAGTTGGAGCAGGGCTCTGTTTTTAATCTTTACAGGATAATAAAAATATCCATCTTTCAAAAATCATAAGGCCTTGGATACCCAGATATCTACAACAAAAGGAGAGAACCTATTAGTACCAATATATACAGAGTAATATCTCACTGCCTAACCTCTATATCTCTTTAACTCTAAAAATGTTATGGTCCTTGAATTATAAATCAAGATGGCTTTGGAATTGAAATATAGCTCTCTCCTTTTCTAAACCCAAGAATGTTGCTAATTTTTTTTTTTTTTTTTTAGAGATTCTGTCTCATATCACACCACCTGGTGGGAAGACAGAAGAAAACCAATAAAAAAGGGACCATTGTCATCAAGATTCTATTTCTTTCCACACATGTTCTCACTTTCGGAGGATCCAGTATAAATCCAAACTTTCCATTTCGCTATTAATAATGTTCAACTTTTCCACAATTGGCCTTTCTAATAGCAAGCTCTAAAATCTCCAGAAGGAAGATGGGGCCCCACAACAGTGACCTACTCAATCCAGAATGATGTTATGGTACCCTTGAACATTACTTGATGAATAATTTTGGACTAGAAATTCTGCAAGGCAGTTCTAAGATGAGATAGATGGTCCATCATATTACACTTCTAGCCAGAATGTCAGATAACCTTACCCCTTACACTGAGACTGGCTGTGGAATCTACAGCTAGCCCTATTGAAACTTAACTATCTGAGCTTTCTTACAGGACTCCACAGAGATACTCTTGCCCCCAAACAGCAGCAAGCAATTCTAAGAAACTGATGGCCCTCTCCTAAAGGTTTTATTTTCACCAGATTATGGATAATGGTTATAAGGTTGGGGTGGAACAATAAAAATTAGACTCAATATTCTTCTTAAGAAAAGAAAAAGGGGAATGGATAGGTATAGAATATTAAGGTAGATTATTGTATGTACTAGTAAACTAATTTAGTAAAATATCTGTCTTAGATAATTTACATGGTTATGGATTCTTATATAATGATATAAATGTAAACTATTTTTATATTCCCATTTAAGATAATTTGTATGTTGAGACAAATACAAAACTATATTTGTTGATATATATATATATATATATATATATATATATATTTCTACTTCTATTTGAAATATCTTGTATATTGATGCAAATATAAAATTGTATTTGTCATACTGTATGTATGTTCTACCTCTGTTAACATATTTTATATATTGATACATATTTAGGATTGTTATCATATTGCATATTACACTATACATTTCTACCTCTGTTTAAGACATTTTGTGTATTGCCACAATTTTGGGATCATTGTCCTTTTACTGTACATTTGCTTATAGACTATTTGCCTTGTTTTTGTGAAGGCTTAGTCCTTAGGTTATTTAGGTAGATGAGACTTAGAGATTTATAGTCACCCATGCTAGTCATTTCTATAGTTATATTAGTTAGGTTGTTCAGGTTTATAGATATATAGGTCAGATGGATAGGTAATCTTCACAAACCTAGAGAACATGGCATTTAAATGTTTTGATAGCTCAGAATTCTGTTGATGTGAGACATAATTGTTCCTAGCAGCACCATTCTGATCCCAAGAGAATGTTGGGTTTCTAAGACACTCCATTTGGAAGTTTTCTTCTTGGTACATAATGGCCTGCTGGGCAAAGAACTGCCCTTGCCTTGCCTGCTGACAGTATGAATGCTATCCTTTCTGAATGAGCAGGACACAAGGAAAAGTGACTATTGAACTCTGCCAAGACAGGGTAAGATGGTCTTTCAAATTTCCTGCTTCTGGAAATGGTCTGTCAGGTATTCTAGGACTGTAGATAAATTGGATGCCCCAACAGTGCTGAGAAACTTCAGGTGACTGTCCAGGCTCCCAGCTGTCTCTGTCTATTCTCACAAGATTTTCAGAAATTGTTTGCATGCATTTCCCATTTCTCAGGTATTATTATATTCCATCAAGTCTTTGACGGGGTTAAAGACTAATAGTTACAGTTACAATCTTCTTGTATCTTAACTAGAACATATTAAGTGCTAGATTCAGATTCTTCAGCATAGGACAGCTTTTGGAATAATCTCTGTAACATGCCATTTACCTACATTCTGGACATCTCTGAATTTTAGCATATGTCTCTTTTTTACTATTGTTCTTGTTAGTTGTAGTTCCATTTTGCTTAGGTAATTACCCTTTATTTCTCCTGGACAATACTTAATAATCATTCCTATTGTATATAGTTTTGTGTTAGGTTAGAACTTTCTTATTTAGACGAAAGGGGGATATGTAGTGGGTAACTGTTCTAGCTATGACCTTGAAGCATCACCCCTAGGGAGGTAGCAGGTAACTGTTATACCTGCCTATGACCTTTTCAGTACATGCCCTGGGGCATAGCCACTCGGGATCCTTAAGGTCCAGGATTCACGTATGTGGCTCTCTTCACCTCCTCATAGTATTGGATGCTGAGATCTTGGACCAGGTAAATCAACATGGGACATAGTTCAGTTTCCCTGGACCCTACAATAAATCTCCTGTGGCAATGAGTTAACCCCCAAATAAATTCCTTTACTCATTGAGTAGACTCTGTGGATTTCTCACATTAATGATAGATGACAGATGACTGGTAGATGATAGTGGTTCTGCTAAACCTTCTCTCATAAAACCCAAGTTTCTTTTATTTCTCCTCATTTTGTCTGATAGTCTCTACTTTTTTCCAGTTAACTAGCATCTTGAGAACAGGATACATGTATTGATGCTGTGTAACTCATAGAACAATGTCTAACACAGTGGGCTGGTCCAGTGCTTTATATTGTTAATTTCATGGTGTTTTTTCACACATTTATATTTATATACATTAGTCCCCCCCAAAAGTCAATCTTCTCCTGTTCTCTGGAAAGGTGCATATTTTGCAATATAGTATTTTATAATAGTAGTAAAATTATGTAATTACACATTACTCAATAAATTCCAGGTATATATGGAGATGAACTGACTAAATCTGCCAGAACCTGGAGGGGATCACAGGTAAGCAGGATGACTTTCAGGTCTTTGCCACCAACCACATAATACCTATATTTCAATGTCTTTGTTTATTTTAGATATATTTTATAGCCTCTAAAATTACACTAAACACAATTTTCTATGAATGAAACTTCTGTTTGTAGGTTTCATTGTTTTGAGTGATACATGTGCTAGTCAGGTCTTAAACAGATACAGATGACACACTCAAAATAAGGTAACTGCAGAGGATACAACACTTACAAGGAGACCTTATGAAAGTAAAGGTAGGGAAACTGCAAGAAACACCATTTTAACTAGTGCCTTTGTGCCACTGGGGACTTGTCATCACTTCTAGGTAATTTGAGTACCAGGGAAGGGGGTTGCTGGAATCAAAAATAAAAAATTACAAAGTCGCTACTGTGAGAGAGCAAGAGTTATAGCCAGCTTAAGAGAAAATCCAGGGAAATGGCTGCTCTTTTCCTCTCCTTCTTTATCCTGGAGCTTGCACATTAACCAAATCTAACTGACAGTGAAATAAGGGGTGGGCAACCACTGGTATCATTCACATAAACCAGATTGGTAGAGTTAGAAAGCAGTGTAGATAAGGATTGGAGAGGAGCTGACTGCAGAAATAACCTGTCAAGTCTGTGCAGAAGAAATTACCAAATAAGAGACACAGAGTAACTCATATACACTTTCCAATCTTCTTTCCTGTGAGCTAAAATAGTCAGAACAAAGACAAATTAAAACTCTACATAAGTTAGGTGAGTATACAGAAGGCTTCTCACAAAAGGAATTAAGCTGACTGTATACCATATATTTACACTTTGATTTTTTTGTGTGTCTTTTTGATCGTAGATTTATTTCTACATGATTTATAAGACATTCATAACATGTTCACAATTCAGTCTCTTCATGAGTCATCCTAATAACAGCTAACTTTTTCCTAAAGTTCAACAGTGTCTTTAAAACAGACCTCTAGGTAATTGTGTCACACAGAAAAGAAATCACTTCCTTTTCCTCCTCACTGCCTGCTTTCTGATATTGGACAGCTGTCATGCATTCTGTATCTGCTCAGTGGCAAAGGTCTACTGTGAAAATTGAAGCACCAGAGCTCATTAACCTTTTCAGGAGCTTGGAGACAAGAGTTAGAAAGGTATGACTCGGAGAAATAATTCCCCAGGACCGAGTAGCAGCAATTTTCTAAACAGAAAGCACTGGAGAAGAGGGAGGAGAACACACAAAGAAAGCTGTTTCTGTTAACGAACCAGACTCTGAGCTTATCATAGCAAAGGGAAAATAAAAAGGGAAGCAAGTTACTACAAATCTTTTAAAGGAAGGCCATGAGTCAGAGGACTCTGTGAGCTACTTCCTATAAATTTACTCTTGCCTAGTATCTATGCCAAAAGACAAAGTGCCAAGGTGGCTGGGGAGGAAAACAGGGCCATCCCGAAAAGTGGAGAGAAGAAAAAAGTGTCATGCGATCACATCCACATGCTTGCCTTGTTGAAAAAGGGCTGGGTGCCCGGTCCACTATCAAATCTACTGCCCATCTTTGGTGTAAATTCTTCCAATTGAAATAGCAGGGCACAGCAAAAACAGGTATCTTTAGAAAGAGGAATCCATGCCCACTTTTTCCACTAGTACATTTACCATAAATGTTGCATAAAACCTATAAATGGCATTCTATTCTATAAGAACTATAAGTAAAATGAGAAGTTTTCTATTCTACTACTGAAGTTTTCTTACTTTGAGAAGAATATTTAGTCCAAATATATATCTAATTCTATTAAAAGAAGTAAATGAAGGCTGTGAGGGTGAAGCCAGTGAACTTATCAGCACTGAGTGTCCTTAGATGTTATCCCATCATCAAGTGCTGCCTTACAACTCTATAAGTGACAATGTTCATTTGGAAGGTCCTTCTTGCCTTCTCCCTGTATCAAGCAGAGAACTGGAAGGAACCTTTAGCTCTGCAGTAGAAGAGACCCTTCACTTGTCTTCCCTAGTTTCCCATTTCTTAATTTTTTTTTTTTTACTTTTATGGGGGGGTGTGGGAAGGTTGTGTTTCATGTTAACATTTCACATAAAAGCCTTTTTCCATTTCTGGAGATTGGACTTGTTTTTGTCCCCTATTCTTGCAGGCCCATTGTTTCCTGTAGAACATCCCACATTGAGCATGTGTGGCATTTTTCCACTTGTGCATGCCCTACCACAACAAAGATTCATACAAGCGATACATATTTTCCAGAGCTGTAGCCCAATCAAGTAAATGATCTGTCTCTCTGTCTCCCACACAGCTTTTCTGATTATTATTATTATTATTATTATTATTATTATTATTATTATTATTTGCAGAACTCTTTCATCAGGTGCCAGATATCAGGATATGCAAAAAAAAAATCATGAATGAGGCAAGACCTCATTTTTCTATCTGAGGGGTTATAAGGAAACACGTATGTTCTGATGGTAACTTTCTTTTACTTTATCTTTAGAAAAATCTTCCTCTGAAAATCTCTCTGTCTCTACACAGCTACATTCTCCACATGGCTCTCTCTATACTCACACAGCTCTCTCTCTCACACACAGCTCTCTCACATAGCTCTGTTCTACCCATCCTTTCCCCTAATATCTCTCTAAATTTCCCTCTTCATACATCTAGAAAATTTTTTCTCTCAACAGAAAACTCTATATAATATATGAGCTGCATTTATTTTAAGGTCGCAAGCATAACGAGTAAACAATTAGATATAGAGCCATTCTGGTAGCACATGAGAAATCGTACCACCTCTCACAGGCCTGAAATGTCACATTGACCATAACCTTGGCAATTGTTGGCTGTCAGACAGGTTCTCTGATGTGTAGTCTATACAGAAAAGTCAGGAGGTATATAGACACCCAGTGCCCAGTGTTTCCCAACAGAGAGTGACATTGAAATATAGGACCTATGCAATGAACAGTTAGTTGGCTGAACCTTGAGCCTTGTATTTTAAAACTGAGGTTTAAGAGTACATGCAGAGAGTCAATTGCTAAGAGAATTATATCTACTGAAGTTGCTTCATTCCTGATGTTGGTTCCACAAGCAAACACCTGGGAATATGTCCTTAAACATTTCATCTGCAGAGAATTTGTTTTGAGGTCCTAAATCAGCCAAATGTGTAAAGAGCTATTTTTGTAGCTGAGAACACTGCTATATTCCTATGTAAGCCTGAGCCATGGAAAACATCCCAGTCTTATTCTATTCATCAAAACTATACAGCTTAAGAAAAAAAAATCATCTTTCTGACCATACACAGATATATGCACCCAAACAGTACAAAACACACCACCAATAGGCTGTGGAAAGAACCCAACAGCTTGTTCTTTTCAAGGAGTAATTGTGACAGATCATAAGAAAAATAAAACAGAAGCAACCATAATCCCTAGTAGTCAGTAACCCCATGATCTGTGCTTAGTATGTCTTCACATCAGAGGGTTATTCATCTGACCTGTTGAGTATCAGTTGTCATCTGGTGCATATTCCATGGCTTCTGGCAGAAGGAATTATATTTCACAGTTGTCTCTAGAATATGTGGTTATAAGTTATAATTTCTCACAGAAAAATAATTTTGAGACTTGGAAGGGAAAAATGAAAGCAGTCATCTTTATACTTGGGAGTTCAGTTCATGGGATGATGCTGTGCATGTGTGGTCTTTGATTTATTGTACCTTGGTGAAAGCACTCATCCAAGCAAATTCATATGTGCTAGACAGTTTTTGCTGACTTTGAGTTTTAACATCCATGGTGGAGTTAGTGGCTTCTTCTGTTGTTCAGCCACATGATGAAACATGGACACAGTAGAGACAGATGCAGTTCTGCTTTGACCTCAAGGTCCAGTTGACCCTTGCTGGTGCTAGTTTTCCTAACTTCACATTCTATTTTTTCTCATCTGTCAACACATAGTCACTTCAGTAGCAATAGACAGAACAAAAGAAACAGGCTTGCCTAAGGTACTCTCATGATTTTAAAAGATCTGCTAGAACCCAGGTTGAAATACTGGCACATACTTAGATTTGACAATTAAAAATATCCTGATATGCTTCACTTGAAAATAGACTTTGGGAGAACATCTAATTTCAAGGTGAAGGTTAATTCTTAACTCTGCAGGTTTTTCTTTGCCTGCAAAGAAAAATTAGAATACAAGAAGTAAGCAATATGTCTACATTAACATCTTGGAAACCCCACTACACTCAATATTTTCAGTGTGTTCTCACTCCAAAGTGCAAGGATGGTTGGAAAAGCACAGAAATTCCATAGGAAGTTGAGCACATGGCCCAAGACGGTGGTGATATTTTATTTGTGCTCTAACAAATAAAACTTAGCTGGGGATCAGAGAACAGAGCCAGCCACTAATTTAGCCATAGAGGCCAGACAATGGTGGCACACATGCCTTTAATCCTAGCATTCAGGAGGCAGATTCATCTGGATCTCTGTGAATTCAAGGTCACACTGCGAACAGAGCCAGGCAAGGTGGTACATGCCTTTAATCCCAGCACTTGAGATCTTATGTCTCTGCTTGGGAATGACACATGCCTTTAATCCCAGGAAGTAATATGGCAGGACACAGAAAGGTATATAAGGTGTGAGGAAACAGGAACTCCTTCTCTTAAGGTATGAGGACCAGGAACTGGAGGCTTTTAGCAGCAGTTTAGTTGAGATCTCTTCCAGGTAAGGACTAAGAAGCCTTCAGTCAGAGGAAACAGGAACACTTGCTCTCTTGAAAGAGATGCTTTCAGTCTGAGGATTTGTGGAAACAGGATTGGCTGAGGAGTTGAGGTTAGGTTGGCTGTGGCTTGTTCTGCTTCTTGGATCTTTCAGCATTAACACAAATATCTGACTCTGGGTTTTTTGGGGTGTTTTTATTATTAATAAGACAATTAAAGATTCATGTTACACAAGACTTTTCTTCTTGATAGTTTTGCCCCCCCCCCACTTTGTAACCCTGTTGGTTTCAGCAACTTGCCTTTTCTGGGAGGGCAATAGCTCTGAAGTTCTCACATTGGCCTTAAGTTGTATCTTTATCCTTTATGTCCTTATCCATACTTTAAGAAATTTGGAACAAAGAGGGAGCTAGAAAGTTCGTGTGTGTGTGTGTGTGTGTGTGTGTGTGTGTGTGTGTGTGTGTGTGTGTGTGTATGTATGTGTGTGTTCCCATCTTTTCCTTTTCTAGAGATCATTCAGTCAATACAGGAAGGCTATGTTATTCCTTGCCTCTGTGAGGAAAGGAGCATATCCATTGCACTATGCTCTTTCATTCACCATATGCTATCTATGCTCTACATAAAATCTCCATCTGAGTCAGTCAGGCTTCATTGTTATTTTAAAAAAAGGAATAACAGAATATAGTTTATGAAAAAATATTTTCAATAGTTTTTCAGTAATATGTATTTCTTTTTTCCTTTTCTCTTTTTATTTATTCTTCTATCATACAATACATCCTGACCACAATTTCCCCTCCTTCCCTTCCTCCAAGTCTCACCCTACCTCCTTTCTCACCTAGACCCACTCCTGTTCCATTTTCCTTCAAAAAATGAGCAGGCTTCCCAGGGATATCAACTGAACACAGCATAGCAAGATGCAGTATAAGACTAGGCACAAACCCTCATATTAAGGCTGGACAAGGCAACCCAGTATGAGGAAAAAGGTCCCAAGAGAAGGTAAAAGGGTTAGAGAGACCCTCAGTACCACTGTTAAGAAAACAGAAAAACCCAAAGCTAAACAACCATAACACATATGCAGTGACCTAGCACTTACCCATGCAGGCTCTGTGATTGTTGCTTGAGTCTCTGTAATCCCCTATGAGCCCTAAATGGTTAATTCTATGGACCGTGTTCTCCTTGTGTTCTTGACCCATCTATCTCCTACAATTCTTCCTCTCCCTCTACTCTGATGTTCCCCAAGCTTCAAGGGGAGAGACCCTATGGAGATCTCCAATTTGAGCTCTTTTTCTACCTAATATTTGGCTGTGGATCTCTGCATCCACTCCCATCAGCTGATAGCAAAGGCCTCTCTAATGACTCCTAGGCTGTGCACTGATCTATGAATATAGTAGAATATCATTAGGAATCATTTCATTGACCCCCCCCCAACTTTGGGCCAGTTGTGTTTGATTATATCCAGGTCTCTGTGATATCCAACTTCCAGTTCCTGACCATTCAAGCAGTGTTGGGCATGGGTTCCCTCTAGTAGTATGGGACTCAAGTTAGACCAGTCATTGGTTGGCCACTCCCACAAGCTCTGAGCCACCATTGCCCTTGCACAACTTGCAGGCAGGACAGATTGTAGGTCTAAGGTTATGGAGCTGGGTTGACATCTCAGACCCACTGCTAGGGCCCTTGCCTGGTAATAGAAGATGGCCAGTTCAGGTTCTGTATCCCCCATTACTAGGAGACTTCACTTGGGTCACTCTCATCTATTGTATGTCCCTTTACTGGGGAGGTAAGTGCATTCCCTCCTAGAGCCATCCTTGTTACTTTGCCTTTCTGGGTCTGTAGATTGTGGCATGATTATAATTTACTTAGCAGATTATAATTTACTTAGCCTTTCTGGGTCTGGGTTGCCACAGTCAGAACGATTTTGTCTAGTACCATCAATTTGCCTGCAAATTTCATGATATCTTTTTTTTTAACAACTTAAAATACTTGGGCAAATATACCACATTTTCTTTATCCATTTTTCTGTTGAAGGACATCTTGATTGTTTCCAGTTTCTGGCTTTCATGAATAAAGCTGCGATGAACACAGTTGAGCAATTGTCCTGGTGGTAGAATGCAGCATCCTTTGGGTATATGCCCAAGAGTGGTATAACTGGTTCTTGAGGTAGAGAGATTCCCAATTTTCTGAGAAACTGCCATAGTGATTTCCAAAGTGGCTGTACAAGTTTTCAAGCCCAACAGCAGTTGATAAGTGCTCCCCATGCTCCATATCCTCACCAGCATAAGCTGACACTTGTGATCTTTCTGACAGATGTAAGATAGAATCTCAAAGTAGTTGAGGTTTGCCTTTCTCTGATGGCTAAGGATGTTGAACATTTCTTTAAGTGTTTCTAGGCCATTTGAAATTCCTCTATTGAGAATTCTCGGTTTAGATCTGTACCCACTTTTTAAATGGGTTATTTGATTTCTTAATTCTAGTATTTTTAAGTATTTTTATATATAATTTGGATATTAGCCTTCTTTCTGATGTGGAGTTGGTTAAAAAAAAAATCTTTGCCCATTCTGTAAGCTGATATTTCTCCCTATTGGTGGTGTCCTTTATCGTATGGAAGCTTTTCAGTTTTGTGACGTACCATTTATTAATTGTCACTCTTAGTTGCTTGTGCAGTTGGTGTTCCATTCAGGAAGTTGTCTTCTGTGCCAATGCATTCAAGGCTATTTCCCAACTTCTCTTCTACCAGGTTTCGTGTATCTGGTTTTATGCTGTAGTCCTTGATCCACTTGGACTTGAGTTTCATTCAGGGTGATGGATATGGATCTTTTTTGCATTCTTCTACTGACTTCTAATTAGTCCAGCATCATTGTAATCATTTTTATTTAAAAAAAAGTCAGGTGTCTGTAGGTATGTAGATTTATGTCTGGTTCTTCAATTTAATTCCATTGATCAACCTGTCTGTTTTAATGCCAACATTATGCAGTGCTTATTACTACAGCACTAAGAACAGCTTGAAATCAGTGATACTGCAGGACATACTGCAGTTCTTTTATTGTTGAGGATTGTTTTAGCTATCCTACTTTTTGTTTTTCCATAAGAAACAGTATTTTCCTTTCAAAGTCTGTAAAGAATTGTGTTGGAATTTTGATGAGAATTGCCTTTAATCTGTAGATTGCTTTTGATAGGTTGTCCAGTTTTACTACATTAATCCTAATGATCCATGAGCATGAGAGATCTTTCCATCTTCTGATATCTTCCTCAATTTTTTTCTTCAAAGACTTGAAATATTTGTCATATAATACTTTCACTTGCTTGGTTAGAGTTACCTCAAGATGTTTTGTATTATTTGTGGCTATTGTTCAGAACATTGTTGCCATCTCTTTCTCAGTCTGTTGTCATTTATATATAGGAGGGATATTGATTTTTTTTAATAAATTTTATGTCCGGCCAGATAGGTGCAAGGGTTTATCTGTTGCAGGAGTTCCGGTTGTAGAATATTATTTTAAGGTATGTTACATTTGTTTATGCTCTTGAACATTTGTTTAATGATGCAAAGATGTGTTGCAATTGTTTATGTTGCATTTGTTTAACTCTGTGAAGCTTTGTTACTATGCCTGTCTAAAACACCTGCTGATCTAATGAAGAGCTGAATGGCAAATAGCAAGGCAGGAGAAAGGATAGGCAGGGCTGGCAAGGAAGGAGAGAATGAATAGAAGGAGGAGCAAGAAGAAAGAAAAGGAGCAAGAGAATAAAGAGAGAGGAATAATGAGGATGCTATGGGCAAGCCACTGAGCCAGCAATGGAGTAAGAGTAAAAGTAAGATATACAGAAGTAAGAAAAGAAAAAAGTCCAGAGACAAAAGGTAGATAGGATAATTTAAATTAAGAAAAGCTGGCTAAAACCCAGCCAAGCTAAGGCCAGACATTCCTAAGTAAGAATAAGCCTCTGTGTTTGATTTATTTGGGAACTGGTTGACAGGCCCCCCAAAAGAGCAAAAGAGTAAGAGTAAAAAGACAACAAACAACAGTTTGGTGTCCAATGTCAGGCAAAGTTTTCATGTAGGGCTTAGAAAAGGTGAGGAAAAAAAGAGGACATGGCTCATTTAAGAGTTTCTGCCTGCTGGTCAGCCCTTGAGACACCAGTACATTAAGTAGTTCCAAAAACTAAGTAAAAATGCCTGCCACACTGCAAGCATCAGCATTCTAGAGCTCTGGGAAGGTTGAGTGGAGTTCATGGTCAGACACCTCCAAGCTGGCTGTGAATTTTAGGCTTATCTTTCACAACCCAAGAAGCAGGTGAAGTCTGCCACCAAAGACACAGGCAGAGGTCATAAGCTACTTCACTTAGCAGTTTTTTGCTCATGCAGAAAAAAAAAGGCTAAAAGATATTTAATGAAAGAGTTCAAGATGGAAAAAAACCTTTAAACAGGTTCCATTGTGTTTTACAATGTGCAAAGGCTTAAGAAAGAATGAATATGGGCATAGACAGTCATAGAAAGAAATAGTTTAAAAAGTAATGAAGTCTCTAAAAAAAAAGTTAAAGTAATATATTTTTAAAAGCTGCATAAGTTGGGAAGTACACAGGGAGTCTGGATCCTATATAGTATTGTCTTGATTTTGCATGCTGACAAGTAAGCAATAGCTGCTAAGAGATGTGGGATTGTGAACTGGATTACCAAACTGAACCAGCCTAGATATTTTAGGAATGCCTTAACTTTAATATAGCAGTCAAAAATGCTTTGGAGAAGAGGTTTTTATTGGTTGTAGTATTAAGGCAACTCCACATAGTTAAAAAGGAGGTTTATTTTGTGGGGTAACTTACAAGTAAAGGGATAGGTTACAGGGTCCAGGAAAGGTGTAGCACACTTCAGCAGTGTTCTCTGGAAAACTTGGCTTGGTCTGCCTCCAGCATCCAGGACCAGGGAAACAAGAGAGCCGGCACATTTGGATCTCGGCTCTTAAAGGCTCCTGTCTCGGCCCTGCCTTGTAGGTTACCAAACTGTAGACAGTTACCAAAGCCTCAATTGGAGGTAGTACTTCCATGTCAAAGCTGGAAAAGCTGTTCTTTACAGGTTTTGCTTTTGTTTCCACAGGAAACAAGAGGCTGTGGATTCAATCCAGAATACAGATCAAGTCTGATCAAGAGAGACCTCCTGAACCTTGACAGGTGATGTCTATCAACAAAGGTTATACTGGTCTTCCCAGGACTTGGCCATTATCTCAAATTTTCTCTCTGGGACCCTTAAAATATTTTATCCACAGACAGCAGGAAGCAATGTGGAGAAAACTATGCCCACATTCCCAAGAGTTGGGGGGTGCGAGTGGTCTTTGGTTCTCTTGTGGGCTATGGATATTTGCTATAATTTAGAGGAATATAGGATAAAAAGACAACTATTAGTCTCAGATAATATTGCATTAGCATGGATTTTGAAATACTGATACAAATTCAATTTTTTTTACACTGTATATATGTTTCTACTCTTGTTTGTGGTATTGTGCTTATGCAGTTAATTTAAAAATGCAATATGTAACCAATATACAAATAAAAAATAAGGTTAGTAGTAAATCTATAATTTGTAGTCACATTAGATACATTTTTCTAGGTTAAATGGGTATATTTTAGATAGATAAATGGTCTTCAAATACTCAAAGACCTACAAAATATGAAATTTAAAATGTCTCCTAAGGTTTTTTATGACAATAAGATATATCTGCTCCTAAAAGTACCAATTTACTTCAGAGATGATGGACATTGAAGAAACTCCTTATGGAGTATGCTTTCATTGGGCAAAGAAACTGCTTTTGCTTTGACTGCTGACAATGTGCTGTGCAGACTGGACATGCAGGGCACACAGGAAAAAGACTGTTGAACATTGTCTAAACAAGGCAAATCAGTCCTTCAAAATTCCTGCTTCACAGAAGAGTTTGTCAGATATTCTGTAGGATACAGAGGAAAGGAACCGATGACTTTGCCAATACAAGGCAGGACAGACAATCTTTCAAATCTCCTGCTTCACTGAAATATCTGCCAGGTATACTAGGCCTATAGGCTGAAAATGGATGCTTCAATATTGCAGAGGAACTTTGGGAAACTGTACAGGCAGTCATATGTCTCTGTCATTTCTAAAGTTTTGGAAATTGCTTACAAGCACTTCCTGTTTAGTCAGGTAATATTATTTCCTTCTGGGGTGTTTGATGGAGTTAAAGACTAAATAATTAAGGAATTTTGGTTTTTCTTAGTTATGATACAAAGTAAGTTAGGTAAAACTTTGGATTCACCAAGTTAGGATACATAATGCATTATTTTCTCTGAATATGCTAACTACAAATGGACAGAATATTGTAAATGTAATTCTTACATGATTAATGTTTTCTGTTGTATATAGTTTTACTATGTTAAAGTTAAAAACCTTTCTTTTTATTTAGGCAAAAAGGAAGAAATATTGAAGAACATTATTTTAAGGTGTGTTACATTTATTTATGCTCTGGAACATTTCTTTAACGATGCAAAGATGTAGCTGGAATTTTCTACAATCCTGCCTGGGCCTGCAGCTGCTCAGATCCAAATAAACACACAGAGGCTTATATTAATTAAAACTGTATGACCTAATGGCTCAGGCTTCTTGCTAGCTAGATCTTACATCTTAAATTAACCCATTTCTATAAATCTATACCTTTCCATGTGGCTCATAGCTTATCAGTATTTTTACATCTTGCTTCTCATGGCAAAGCTGGCAGCATCTCTCTGCTCTGCCTTTCTCCTTCCTCCTCTCTAGTTAGAATGTCCCACCTAACCCTATTCTGCCTCACCATTGGCCAAACAGCTTTATTTATCAACCAATCAGAGCAACATATTTTCACAGCATACAAAAAGACACTCCCATCACAAAGATGTGTTGCATTTGTCTATGTTACATTTTTTTACCTCTGTGAAGTTGTGTTACTATGCCTGTCTAAAACATCTGCTTGTCTAATAAAAAGCTGAAGGGCCATTAGTGAGCCAGAAGAAAGCATAGGTGGGGCTATAAGGGAAGGAGAGAACAAATCAAAGGTGGAGGAAGAAGAAAGAAGGAGCAAAAGAACAAGGAGAGGGGGATTCTGGCTACACAGCCAGTCATGGATTAAGAGTGAAAGTAAGATTTATAGGTAAAAGCCCAGAGGCAAAAGGTAGATGGGATTATAAAAGTTACAAAAAGCTGGCTAGCAATAAGCCAAGCTAAGGCTGAATATTTACAATCAAGAATAAGCCTCCATGTGTGCATTTATTTTGGAACTTGGTGGTGTCCCCACCAAAAATAGAGTAAAGAGGCGAAAGAATAAAACAACCAACAACATGTATAGCCTTTGGGTTTGGTTAACTTCAGAATGTGACTTTTTAAAATTTCTATATTCTTTAATAACATAATTTTAAAAGCTTGCAAAAGAGAAAATAAAATAACAAAAAGACAAGAAAACAAAACAATGACAACAAAAACAGAGGAAAATACAGGAAACACACATACACACACAAACCAAAATCCACAAAAAGACAAAATCAGAAACCATAATGTATGAGAAAAGGACAAGGCAAAAAAATGCCCAAAAGAAACAATATATAAAAATACTATTGAGTTTGTTTTGTATTGGCCATCAAGTTCTGGGAATGTGGCCTATCCTTAAGTGTAGTTAATATACCCAAAGAGACCCCAGTGGAGAAAACTAATTTTCCCTTTGCAAACTGGTATCAATTGCAGATAGCTTCTCAGTCAAGGGTGGGCACCAATGTCCACTTCCCCTGAGAAGTACTAGGACTCTGTTTGTCTTGAATCTGTGTAGGCCCTTGGCAAATGGTCACAGTCTTTGTGAGTTTATAAGTGCATCATTCCTGTTGTGTCTGGAAGACTGTTTCCTTGGAATTACCCATCCTCTCTGGCTCATACAATCTTTCTGCCTCCTTTTCCACATACTCCTTAAGTCTTGAATGGAGGGGTTTAATGAAGATATCCCTTTTTGGATTTGCTGTTCAAACATCTCTCAAGAAGAGCAGCTTCTCTTGTGATGGCTGAGTGAGTCGCTCCTCTATGGGTATAGAAAAATGTCATTGGGAGTCATTTTATTACTATGTTCTGCTAGTAGAACAATAGTATTTAGTTTTTCCCTAGGCCCATAGCTTTTTACCAATCTCAGCTTCTTGTCTACCAGAGTAGTATCAAACATGGGTCCTATCTCATAGAGTATGCCTTAAATGCAACCAGATAGTAGCTGGTTACTCCAACAACATTTGTACCAGCTTATCTTCCAGGTAGGTCACTATTGTACATTTCAGCATTTGTAGTTGTGTTAATGGCTACCTTTCTCCTCCAGTAGCATATAGAGTACCTTCCAGAAGCATGAACACTAGTCAGTAGATTTGACTAGGCTGATACTAGCTCTACTCTCCTTGTTAATGAGATATGTAAATGTTGTCTTTAGTAATTAGGTCCTGTAATTAGTTTGTAGGGAGCAAACAATATCCTTTGTTGTAGCCTGAGATGTTTAGAGTTTTCCATGAGATCCTTGTCACCAACAACTCAATTAGATGCAACCCTTTCCTGGTACTAGAAGTTTTCATTGGTTTTACTTTAAGAAACTTCTACAGATACAGGTATCCATGTGATACCTCAAATGGAACTAACACACTTAGCATTAGTTGCCCACCTCTATATTCCCTCTCGTATCTCTCACCTTCATCCTCCTCCCCATTTACTACTCCACCATAGTCTTCCCTACATTTCTCAGTAACTATATATTCTATTTCCCCTTCCTTAGGAGATTTTCCCTCCCTGATAGTTTTTTTTTAATTTCTTTTTTTTTATTATTAAGAAATTTTCTATTTATTTTATATACCAACCACAGATCTCCCCTCCTCCCTCTTCCCACCCCTCATCCTTCCCCCCAATCTACCCCCATCCCTACTTCCTTGAAGTCAAGGTCTCCCATGGGGAGTCAGCAGAGCCTGGTACATTCAGTTGAGGCAGGTCCAAGCCCCCCCTGCACCAAGGCTGTACAAAGTGTCACACCTTAGGCACTAGGCTCCAAAAAGTCCATTCATGCACCAGGGAAGGATCCCGATCTCCCTACCTGGGGGCCCCAAACAGCTCAAACTAAACAACTGTCTCTCATATCCAGAGGCCCTAGTCTAGTCCCATGGGGGCTCCACAACTATTGGTCCACAGTTCATGGGTTTTGACCAGTTTGGCTGGCTGACTCTACATTTTCCCATCATGATCTTGAGGTCTCTTGCTTATGGAATCCCTCCTCTCTCTCATCAATTGGACTCCTGGAGCTTGGCCTGGTGCCTGGCCGTGGATCTCTGCATCTGTTTCCATCAGTAACTGGATGAAGGCTCTATGATGACAGTTAGGGTATTCACTAATTTTGTTACTGGAGTAGACCAGTTGAGGCACCCTCTTGACCATTGCTAGTAATCTAAGGTAGAGTCATCCTTGTGGATTCCTGGGAACTTCCATAGCACCCTGTTTCTCCCTTTTCCCATGATGTCTTCATTTATCATGGTATCTCTTTCCTTGCTCTTCCACTCTGTCACTGTTCCAGCTTGAACCTCCCATTTCCTTATGTTCTCACCTGATAGTCCTTTAATCTATATCTAAAACTTGTGGTTTTAGAAATTATAGCATATATTTCAAATCCATAAAACTTAACATCCACATATAAGAGAAAACATAATATTTGTCTTTTAGGGTCTGGGTTACCTCACTCAGGATAATTTTGGGGGTTTGTTCCGTCCATTTAGCTGTGAATTTCATAATTTCATTTTTTAACAGCTGAGTAATAATCTGATATGTAAATGTACCACATTTTCCTTTGGGTATATGCCCAAGAGTAGAATAAATGGATCTTGAGATAGATCGATTTCCATCTTTCTGATGAACTGCCATACTGATTTTCATACTGCCTGTGTAAGTTTGCCCTCCACAACAGTGAATATTTATTCCTCTTATTCTGTATCCTGTCATCTGTTTTATTCATTTTGGTTATTTTTACTGAGTTAAAAATATGATTTCAAACTAGTTTTGATTTTCATTCCCCTTGTGACTATGGACCTTGAACATTTCTGTATGTATTTCTAAGCCATTTTTGTCTCATCTTTTGAGAACACTTGGATTATATACCCTATTGTATTTCTTAATTGGGTTCTTTGTTTTCTTGATTCCCAGTTTTATTTGGTTTCTTTTTTCTTTAAAAATTTTAGATATAAACCCTTATGTAAAATCAATAAAGATTTTCCCCATTAAGTAGCCTGTCATTTTGTTTAAATAATAGTGTCCTGTGCTGCATAGAAGCTTTTCAATTTCATTAGGTCCCATTTATTAATTGTTGGTTATAGGGTCTATCCTATCAGTATTCTGTTCAGAAAGTCCTGTGCTGTGTCAGTGAGTTCAAAACTATTCTCCTACTTTTTCTTTTGAAAGATTCAGTGTATCTGGTCTTACATTGAGGTTCTTGATCCATATAGAATTAAGTTTTGGTCAGGATGGTAAATATGGATCTATATATATTTTTCCAAATACAACAATCTAGTTTGACCAGAAGATTTTTTTGAAGATTGTAGGAGGCATATAGGCCCTGTGCTCACAGATAAGGGAAACCAGGAATGTTTCCAAGGTTCTCTCTTCAAAGTGAGAGATGTATAACCTGTATTCCATCCAGAAAGTTGGGGAACAGGTATGGTTAATAATCTGGTAACCTCTGTGCTATCTTGTGCGGCCAGGCCACACTATCTCCTCCAGACATCTTGAGGCTGTTTATATCAGTCAATCTATGGCAGTACTATCCTTCCCAGACCCTTAACATCAGCATTGTTTACCTTGACCCTGCCTCCTTAGCTGATCTATAGTATCTGCCTTTATGAAAGATGTTACTCATACTTTATAAGACTTTTGATGTAATTATGTTTTAAGCATTGTTGGGCACATGGGATTGAGTTATCACCATAAATCTTTTTTTGCAAATTGTATATGCCTATAATAAACTACCCACTGCTAGACTCTCAAAGTTTAAACCAACATTTGTAGCAGGAATCTTAAAAGTTCTCACCGGATCCTCAACTGGTCTTGTCTCCTCAGACTGGGGGCTTCTGTGTCCTCATCCCAATAGCTCTCAGCTGAACTGCTGCTTAAAACCCTGAATGCTTAATCAGCCACGTGCTTAACCAGCCAAATGTTTAACCAGCCAAATGCCTCTAGTTTCTGGTCCTTAAGCCTTATATATCTTTCTACTTTCTACCACCACTCCCTGGGATTAAAGGCTGGCTTTCTGGGATTAAAGGCGTGTGTCACCATGCTTGGCTATTTCCAATGTGGCCTTGAACTCACAGAGATCCAGAGGGATTTCTATCTCTGGAATGCTAGGATTAAAGGCGTGTGCTATCACTGACTAACTAGTGGCTTGTCTGTTCTCTGACCCCAGGTAAGTTTATTAAGG